GTGAAAAAATGGGCAGAAGACATGAACAGACACTTCTCCAAAGAGGACATCCGGATGGCCAACAGACACATGGAACAATGCTCAACATCCCTCCTCATCAGGGAAATACAAATCAAAACAACACTGAGATACCACCTCACGCCGGTCAGAGTGGCTAAAATGAACAAATCAGATTATAGGTGCTGGCAAGGATGTGGAGAAATGGGCACCCTCCTACACTGTTGGTGGGAATGTAAAATGGTGTGGACGTTCCTCAAATTATTAACAATAGAATTCCCCTAGGACCCAGCAATAACACTGCTAGGAATTTACCCAAGGAATACAGGAGTGCTGATGCATAGGACCACATGTACCCTACTGTTCATAGCAGCACTCTCAACAATAGCCAAATCATGGAAAGAGCCTAAGTGTCCATCAAAACAAGATGTGGTTGGGGTGCCTGGGTGGCTTAGTTGGTTAAGCGTCCGACTTTCGCTTAGGTCATGATCTCACGGTTCGTGTGTTCGAGCCCCGCGTCAGGCTCTGTGCTGGCTGCCAGCTCGGAGCCTGGAGCCTGTTTCAGTCTGTGACTCCCTCTCTGACCCTCCCCTGCTCACGCTGTCTCTCTCTCTCTGTCTCCTAGAAATAAATAAACATTTAAAAAAAAAAAAAAGATGTGGTTTATCTACACATGGAATACTACATGGCAATGAGAAAGAATGAAATCTGGCCATGTGTAGCAACATGGATGGACCTTGAGGGTGTTATGCTGAGCGAAATAAGTCAGGCAGAAAAGGACAGCTACCATATGTTTGCACGTATAGGAGGATTAGGAGGAACTTAACGGAGGACTGCAGGGGAGAAGGGGGGGAATACTGGGGGAGAGGGAGGGAGGCAAACCATGAGAGACTCTTGAATGCTGAGAACAAACTGAGGACTGATGGGGGTGGGGGGAGGGGAATGGGGGTGATGGGCATGGAGGAGGGCATGTGGGGATGAACACTGGGTGTTATATGGACACCAACTTGACAATAAACTATTTAAAAAAAAGAGAGAACCCTTCATGACTGCTTAATGCTGACACCTCACTTTTTCACTTCCCATGGCATTTAACATGCCACTCCTCTAAACGATAAATATTTTTCATAGTTTACTGATGTGTTTTCTAAAATGGAGGAAAATAGTGAATATTAGGTTGAGTGTTATTATTATTATTATTTACATTACCTCTATACCCAGTGTGGGGCAAAAACCCCCAAGTCCAAGACCAAGAGTTGCACGCTCTACTGACCGAGTCAGTGAAGTGGTCTGCAAATCCTTTTAAATTCCCAAAGCAGGAATACTTTTCCCTTTGACCTCCAGCCCAACAGGATGAGATACACACCATTAAGTGACCAAATACCTTAGTCAAGGGTAAAAATACAAGCATTTTGTGCCAGAGTTGCAATACCTCTGGGGTACCTCAGAACTGTGGAATTTTATGGAAATGAGAGGTTTGTTTTTTGTTTTTGTTTTGTTTTTTATCTCTAATAAGGATAAAACTGAAGAGGCTCCTATGTCCAGAATTTACCAGATACCATATTTTCCTTGACTGATCTGACATTAAAGGTGCTGGTCTTTTCAGACGTTACCTTCTGGGGTCAGAGGAAAGCACCCCACTGGTAATTCCATCACAATCACTGCCCTCCGAAATTAACAGGCAAACCTGAGCCACGGTCCAAAGGGGTGTCACCACGCACTGAAGAAAAAGTTCTCAGACACTTTGTCAGAGCAGACGTGCAGGGCTGTGTCTGCCAGTGAAACAGCGGCAGCAGCAAACTGCACACTGTCTTTATTTCCTGCTCATCAGGGAAAAACATCAAACGCTGTCAACGCATGGGAGGAAACCACAAAGAGCCTCCAGATAGACCAAAAGCCCGTACGGTGTTTATGTGGAAGCATGTAAGGAAGATGTGCACTTTGGAAGACTGGCTCCTGGGAGATCCTGGGGCTCTGTTCTCATGGGGAGGCTGTGTGAGACAGGTTTGAGCCCAGAACATCACCCACATTTCAGCAATGACCCCGTTCACTTTTCCAGGACTTACAACATATTCTCTAAAAATAATTCCACAAGGGATGAGCTTCTACATCGTAGTTTGGAACACAAACAACCAAGGACAACAAGACTACTGCCAGGAAACATAAACCAATTTCAGAACTTAAAAATGTTTGAAGAAAACGGGGCGCCCTGGTGGCTCAGTTGCTGAAGTATCTGACTTTGGCTCAGGTCATGATCTTGCAGCTCATAAATTCAAGCTCTGTGCCGGGCACTGTGCTGACAGCTCCGAGCCTGGAGCCACGTTCAGATTCTGTGTCTCCCTTTTGCACTGCCCCTCCCTTGCTCACGCTCTGTCTCTCAAAAATGAACATTAAAAAATATTTTCTAAAGTTATTTAGAAATTGAAGAAAAAGAAAATTGACGTGAAAATTTAACTTTCAATAGTAAAGACTGAAAAGAAGAGTAGACAGAAACTCAGATTATTCTGGTATTGCAACAGAGAACAGAAAAGAACTTACAACAATGAGGGGTCTCATGTCACAATAAGTCAACGAGAACGTTTTGGTGTGTATAATTCAGGACATTTTTTGGTAAAAGTATGTAAAGGTATATGTACACACTAATAATAGACACCTTTTTATCACCTCCGTGTCCAAAAGACATTGTAATGGGAAAAAGACATGTAATACATAACATGTGATTATTTCAAGTCTGAGATAACAACATCTAGGTGCACAGATGTAGAGGACAACGAAGGCCACTTAAAACCATCAGTGTTCATATCAGTCACACGGACTAGGAATTCATACGCTTGGGATCCCTATTAAGGAAGAGGCACCAGGAAAGTCAAAACCATATTCAAAACAACAAAAAGATTTCTCCCCTGCCTGAATTTTCATCAAGAAAATACATGAAGCTGTATATCTTAAGTTATCCCAAAAATGTGTCCATTCAGAATCATCTCCATTGTACGGGCTCGCATTTTCAGTAAAATTTGAAGGGAGGGGCGACTGGGTGGCGCAGTCGTTTGAGCATTCGACTTTGGCTCAGGTCATGATCTCGTGGTTCTTAAGTTCAAGCCCTACATCTGGCTCTGTGCTGACAGCTCAGAGCCTGGAGCCTGCTTCAGATTCTGTGTCTCCTTCTCTCTCTGCCCCTCCACAGCTCATGCTCTGTCTCTCTCAAAAATAAATGAGCATTAAAAACAAAAAAAAAAAGATTTGAAGGGAAAATAAGTGCTTTCCCACGATGTGTCTGTGCTCAGAGATTCCTAGGTACCTGAAGGCTTTTCCATGGTGCTTAAGTTCATAGGGTTTCAGGTCACTATGGTTCACATGTGTCCTCAAAGGGAAGAGGGGCAACTGAAGGCTTTCCCACAGAGCAGTCATTCAGAAGCTTCTGCCGGAGTCCAGCTCCAGCTGGTACAGGGGTCCCTGAAGGATGGACGGTGTTGGCGAGAATGATGGGAGACCTCCGTGATTCTAATCACCTGCCAGGCATCTCTGTCCTGTCGGTTTGGGGGTCTTTACTTATAGTTCAAACGATAACATGACATCAGAAGATAGAATTTTTACAGGGGCTAATTATTTGTGAGGAGATGCTTTGATCAGCAGAAGGTGTACAGAAACAGGCTTTACAAAAGTATTCTTGCAGAACCTCCCCCATATTCTTGAGGTCAGTCTCCCACATTAAGATACTGACAAACTTCTCATTTTGTGTGGGTAAGGCCTTTAGGTGATTTTTAACCACAAGAGGAAGAATGTATATTAGGCTTGTTCCTAAGTTGCTTGAGCGAGTCTTTTCTTTGATGCTGAATGTGCAAGCACCATGGGTGGTTTGGAATATTACGAGGTCTGGTCAGTACCTGCAGGCTCCTTTCCAACATGAGCCAGTAGTCTCAGGAGATACCAGTTTCACTTCTGCAGGAGCTGTGCAAACGCTGCCATTTCCTCCCTGTGATTGCGTCATGCAGCGAGGCTGGTGCGGCTCCCAGCAAGGTTCTGCCCAGATCTATGGGACGCTGCAAGGTCTTACCAGAGTCCTTACATACAAAGGCTTCTATCCACTGTGCAGCGTCACGTGTTCTTGAAGGGAGCGGTGGCATGTGAAGGTCTCTCCCCAGGATGTTTCTTCATGTGAACTCGGAGAGAGGAGGAGAACCTGTACGCCTTCCCACACCTCTGACCTTCATAAGCTTTAATCGCACTGGGTGTTTTCAATGAACTTGAACATTTTGCAGCTGACTGAAAGCTTTCCCACACTCCATACACTCAAAAGGTATCTCCCCCGTGTGAGTCCTCATATGCGCTCCCAGGTTTGAAGGAGATGTGAAGGCTTTCCCACAGTGCTGACACTTGCAGGGTTTTGCCCCAGTGCGTGTCCATGCATGTATTCGCAGGTCTCTGTGATACCTGAAGGCTTTGCCACACCCCTCACATTCACAGGGTTTCACTCCATAGCGTGTGGTCATGTGACATTGAAAAGGTGGGTGCTTCCTGACAGCTTCCCCACATTCCTTACATTCCAAGTGTCAGTCCCCTGAATGTCTTCTCGCAGTATGTAGGGTGAGGGCGTGGTGTCGAATGAAGGTTTTTCCACAGTGCTGACATTTATGGGGTCTCTCCCCGGTATGCGTTCTCACATGTTCTCGCAGGCATGAGTTATACCTGAAGGTTTTCCCACACTCCTGACATTCATAGCGTTTCTCCCCAGTGTGTGTTGTCACATGGTCTCGCAAATTTCCACGATATCTAAAGATTTTCCCACATTGCTAACATTAATAAGGTCTTTCCCCAGAGTGTATCCGCATATGGATTCACAGGTTTATCTGATCCCGGAAGGCTCTGCCACACTGCTTACATTCATAGGGTTTCACTGTACTGTGAGTGGTCATGTGACGTTTAAGTTGATGAATCGTCTGGAAAGACTTCCCACATTCCTTACATTCATAGGGTCTTTCTCCAGTGTGTGTCATCATATGCGCTCACAGGTTTGAAGGAGATGTGAAGGCTTTCCCACAGTGCTGACACTTACAGGGTTTTGCCCCAGTGTGTGTCTTCGCATGTATTTGCAGGTCTCCGTGATACCTGAAGGCTTTGCCACACTCCTCACATTCATAGGGTTTCATTACATTGTGTGTAGTCATGTGATATTGAAAAGATCGGTGCTTCCTGAAAGTTTCCCCACACTCCTTACATTCCAAGTGTCCATCCCCTGAGTGTCTTCTCGCAGTATGTAGTGAAAGGGTGTGGTGTCGAATGAAAGCTTTTCCACAGTGCTGACATTTATAGGGTCTCTCCCCGGTGTGATTCCTCACATGTTCTCGCAGACATGAGTTATACCTGAAGGTTTTCCCACATTCCTGACATTTGTAGGGTTTCTCCCCAGTGTGTGTCGTCACATGTTCCCACAGATTTCCACGATGTCTAAACGCTTTCCCACATTGCTGACATTCATATGGTCTTTCCCCAGTGTGTGTCCGCGTATGAACTCGCAAGACTGTGTGATCCCGGAAGGCTCTGCCACACTGCTTACATTCATAGGGATTCACTGTACTGTGACTGATCATGTGACGTTTAATATGATGATGAGTCCGGAAAGATTTCCCACATTCCTTACATTCATAGGGTCTTTCTCCAGTGTGTATCCTCAAATGTATTTGGAGGTCTGAGTGATGCTTGAAGCCTTTGCCACACTCCTGACATTCATAGGGTTTCACTACATTGTGTGTAGTCATGTGACGTTCAAACTGTAGATGCTTACTGAAAGTTTCCCCACACTCCTTACATTTCAAGTGTCTGTCCCCTGTGTGACTTCTCTCATGTACTAGAAAGGAGTGCTGACCAGGGAAGGCTTTCCCACACAGGTGACATTTATAGAGTTTCTCCCCAGCGTGTGTC